CTTGGCTCTGTGTCCAAGGCAGCTGGGCTGTGATTGGCCATTAATTAGAAACATCCAACACGGGCCAATCAAAGATCCACCTGTTGCATTCCACAGCAGCAGGTAACCATAGTTTACATTTTGTTCCTGAGGCCTCTCAGCTTCTCAGGAGGAAAAACCCTAAGGAAAGGATTTTCCATAAAAGATGTCTGCGACAGGGTGTGCTCGGGGCACTGGGATCCCCCCTGTGCTATGGGGCAGCAGATTCAGGGGTGCAGCTCTCTCAGCTGGCTCCTGCAGTGCTAACCCTGGGCTGTGCTTGGCAGGCTGGCTTCACGAGCTGGGCAAGAGGCTGGAGGCTCCCTACATCAACAATTCCGTGGGGGGCCCCTCCATCCGCAGCGCCTACATCGCCTCCCTCTACTTCACCCTCAGCAGCCTGACCAGCGTGGGCTTTGGGAATGTTTGCGCCAACACCGACACCGAGAAGATCTTCTCAATCTGCACCATGCTCATTGGGGGTGAGGAGGGCAGCAGGGCTGGGCAGGGCGCTCACCTGGGGCTGCCAGAGGGTTGTGTCCCTGGCAGGGCGCTGGGGGAGGTGGTGGGGTTCTGAGAGAGTCCTGTGAGACAGCCCTGGGCTGGGTTTGGGGAGCAGTTCCCCCGTGCTGTGCCCACACCTGCCCTGTATAGTTTTGCAGGCACCCCCAAGGAGGGGAGGGAATGATGCCTCTGACTCCGTCTTATCAGAAGGCTAATTAATTACTTTATTATACTATATTATTCGATACTATATTATTATATTATATTACACTATTAATTACTACATTACACTATTACTATATTACACTATATTATTACTATATTTCACTATATTATACTATATTACACTATATTGCACTATATTACACTATATTATACTGAATTATTACTGTTATAATTACTATAAATATTCTATATATTACACTATATTCCCTCCCCCTGACAAGGGGAAGGAATGCTGCATCTGACTCCATTTTATCAGAAAGCTAATTAATGACTTATTATACTATATTATTCTATACTATATTACGCTATGTTACATTACATCTAAACTGAGCCTGCCAAGCACTCAACTCTGCTCACACTGCACAGAATCTC